GATGTAGCACCCAGCAGGGGGAGGGGAGGGGGGGATACTTTGTATCAGTGTAGGGCGATGTAGCACCTAGCAGGGGGGGCGCTTTGATGGATTACATGGAAGCGAAGGTCTCATTTCAGGATTTATTCTCTCAGTGAAAGTCGTCTTATTTCATTACATTTCAGGCAGATTTTCTGATCCTCCCTCAGTAGGTCAGACAGCGCAGTCTGCATCCTTTCTGGACAGCTGCTGAGATAAAACCACTAACGCGATAAGTTCCATAGAGAGTGAATGGCTTAGGGAGCCAGGCGAGTGAATGAAAGCGGCCGCGCTGTTACATGTAACGTTTGCAAACAATCATCAGATGATCTGAAATAAGATGATGATGATGACACATTGCAAAGTACAGAGATGGTATCCTATCATGTTTCAGGCATTGGGAGCCGGAGGGGGGAGGTGTTGATGCCGCTCACAAGGGAAAGCACGGCGTGAGCCGACTGGTGACACAGGATACAGCAGAGCATGGGGTGAATGTAACGACCCGAACCCTGACCGCCAATCAGGCTCTGTTGCATATTGCAGCGTTGTTATGCTAACATCTTTCAGGCACTGGGTGCTGCAAGTGGCTTACCTATGCAGGGCCGGATTTCCCACAAGGCCACCGAGGGACAGGACTTGGGGCAGCAGGGAGTAGAGGGGCAGCACAGCCGCCAGGCGGGTAGATTGAATTTTTTTTTTCCCTTTTAATTATGCCTCAGGCGATACAGAGAACCTGTCACCCCCAAATGCTATCACACAGCGGCTTGTGTTAGCTCCTCTGTGACAGCAATAAAGTTAAGTGGAAAAAAAAAAGTAAAAATTGATAAAAAGTAAAAAATAATAATCTGTCATTACAATGAGAGCTCGTCAGAGCCGGCAGCGGTATCAAAGCCGGCTCCGCCGAGTTCTCAGCGTGTAATGACAGATCAGCGTCCCCTGGTTACTAAGTAACCAGGGGACGCTGATCTGTCATTACGATGAGAGCTTAGCGGAGCCGGCTTTGATACCGCTGCCGGCTCTGACGAGCTCTCATTGTAATGACAGCTGGTCCCGGCCAATAGGAAACAGTTGGGCGGAGCTAGCTGCGCCCAATCGTTTTCTACTTTTTTTAAAGGAGAACTATGAGGGGGAGGGGGGGTACTTTTCACTCACCTCATAGTTCTAGCCGACCTGTGACAATGAGACTGTCACAGGTCGGCTCAGTAGATCGGGAGGTGAGGGAACACATACCGGCGTTCGCTCACCTCTCGATCCTGTCACGGCTCTCTGCTGTGACAGGGGGAGAGGCTGGATTCCCCCCCCCGCTCTGACTGGCGGAATGGACGGGGGAGGGGGCGGGTACAGCCTCTAGATAGGCAGAGCCAGCTGTCACTCACGCTGCTGGGCGGATCTCGACATCGATGTCGGGATCCGCTCCGGCTGCGGCGTCTCAATATACCGCGAGCTGTAGCTCCCTGTGTGACGGGAGGACGCTAGTTTGTGTCCTCCCGTTACCCTTAGGAGGGCTATGGGGAAAACCGCTGACCCCATAGTTCTCCTTCAACTGTTTTTCTATTCTGCTCGGCACCACAGAGGTGCCGAGCCGAATGCCGCTCGGCGGCATATGGCTATTCACTCACTGCTGTTCGGCATCTACGAGAATAGGGGCCGAACAGCAGCAAATAGCCTGCCGGAGGTTCGGCTCATCCGATCCAGATGTTGGATCGGCCGAGTCGAACTCCTTCTCCACTTCGGCTAAGCCTGCCGAACAGTGTTTCTGCTCACTTCACTTCGGGTCGGTTATGCCTTCGGCTGCTTTGTGAATAACCTTCAAAGTGATTGAAAAAAAATATAAAACAATTATAAAAGATAATAAGACAAATAAAAATGTAAAAAAAGAAAAAAAAAATGTAAAAATTAAAAACCCAACCCTGACGCCCCC